GTATGGCCAGTTGGCCCAGTGAATGCCCGATCACAGACAATATACCTGAACTAAAGGAAAATACGTTTCTTGTCCAAGATTGTCTAAAATCACTCAATTTTTCCTTTATTAATTACTCTAGTACTTCTAAAATGCGTAGAGTCATTGCATACATTTTTCGTTTCAAGCGCAATTGTTCTGGTCCTAAAAGGGACCGAGCGACAGGGCCTTTGACTTTGGCCGAATTAAAACAATCTTTGCAAATATGAATCAAAATTTGTCAATTTCAATCGTTTCAAGATGAAATTCAAAGTCTCCAGGACAATAAATTGTTAAATTCCAAAAGCAAGCTTTCAGGTCTTGCTCCTTTCCTAGATGAGAATTTGATATTGTTTTGGTGGTCGCTTAAAGTATTCGGACTATGATTTTAATAAGCGACATCCTATTTTGTTGCATGCAAAGCATCACTTCACAAAAATTCTATTTCAAGAAGAGCATATTCTTTTGTTATACGCTGGTCCGCAATTACTCTTGAACTCTATAAAAATACCTATTGGCCTATATCTGGTCGCAATTTGGCCCGCTCCATTGTGCGAAAATGCGTGCGTTGTTTTAGATTCAATCCAAAGGTAGTTCAACCGATAATGGGTAATTTGCCTCGTGCAAGAATTATACCTTCCAGTGCATTTGCTGTAACAGGGTTGATAATGCGGGACCGTTTGTCATCAAAGATAAACCAGGTCGCGGTTGTAAAACTAGTAAATGCTATATTGCTTTGTTTATTTGTTTTGCAACGAAAGCGATACATTTGGAGATAGTCTCCAGCCTTTCGTCAAAATCGTTCATTCAATATTTACGCCGATTCGTAGATAGAAGAGGAAAACCTTCTAAAATGTTTTCCGACAATGGCACCAACTTTGTCGGTGCACAACGCGAACTTTCAAATTTTATTAATTCGACTTGTATTATAAACGATATTCAAAATTATGGCAGATCTCAGGGAATAGAATGGATTTTTATTCCTCCGCATTCGCCCCACTTTGGGGGTTTATGGGAAGCTGGGGTTAAAGGTTGCAAGCATCACTTGAAAAGAATTTTAGCATCCGTTCCTCTTACTTTCGAGGAATTCGCCACCATTTGCACTCAAATAGAGGCAATATTGAATTCTAGGCCTCTGTCTCCTCTCAATGAGGATCCCAACGATCTAACTCCCTTAACTCCCGCTCATTTCCTTATTGGCAAACCAATGGTAGCTGTCCCAGACGAAAACGTAATGGATTTAAAGATGAATCGATTAGACCGTTACCAGTTGCTCCAACGAATGTGCCAACATTTCTGGCAAAGATGGAAGACGGAATATCTTTCCGAACTTCAAAAAAGAAACCGATGGTCCAGCAACAAGACGAATCTTGTGGAGGGTTCATTAGTCCTTCTAAAAGAAGAGAATGCCTATCCCACTCAATGGCACATGGGCCGCATCGTAAATTTACATCCAGGTCGTGACGGCATTGCTAGGGTCGCGACGATAAAAACCTCCAACGGGTTGGTCAAACGAGGGTTCCAGAAGATATGCCCACTACCTCTACATAGTTGAAAGTGCGTTCTTTCAAGGCGTGGGGCATGTTCCGGCCTGCCTAACTTGGGGCCTGCACAGTACTTCCCGGCGTACAATTTGCGGACTTTCCGTCCTGGATAGAGCACCGTGAGCTGCGCGCGTTCTACCGTCTCGCCTAAGGAATTCGGGTGCGAGACGGCACCAGAGACTTACTTGTTCGTTCTCATCGTGGTTGCGTCGGCGATTTTCTGCACGGGCACGTGCAGCGACCGCCATTTTTACTTTGAACTTTTCTGCTCTTCGTTTTAATTTAAATGTTGTTAAAAATAGTTTGTACTCAACAATAAACGTTCAACACAATCAACAAGGGGTTTAGACAGTTCTAAAGAATTCTGAAATGTTCCAAATAACTTTAAACAGTTCTAAATTATTGTGAAATGTTGTAAATGGTTTTGGAGCCTTCAAATGGTTCTAAAACGGTCTTAATGGGTTTAAGCAGTTCTAAAGGATTCCTGAATATTGCAAATCATTCTTGAGCATTCTAAATGAATTTAAAACGTTCTTAATGGGTTTAGAAAGTTCTAAAGAATTCTGAAGTGTTCTTAATAATTTTGAATAGTTCTAAATGATTCTTAATGATTCTGAAGCATTCTAAATGAATCTAAAACGTTCTAAATGGGTTAAGACGGTTCTAAAGAATTCTGAAGTGTTCTATATAATTTTAAACAGTTCTAAATGATTCTGAAATATTGTAAGTGATTTGGGAGCATTATAAATAAATTTAAAACGTTCTAAATGGGTTTAGACAGTTTTTTAAGAATTCTGAAGTATTCTATATAATTTTAAACAGTTCTAAATGATTGTGAAATATTGTAAATGATTTTGGAGCATTCCAAATGGTTCTAAAACGGTCTTAATGGGTTTAGACAGTTCTAAAGAATTCTGAAGTATTTTAAATAATTTTAAAGAGTTCTAAATGATTTCAAAATATTGCTAATGATTCTGGAGCATTCCAAATGATTCTAAACCGTTTTAAATGGGTTTAGAAAGTTCTAAAGAATTCTGAAGTGTTCTAAATAATTTAAACAGCTCTAAAGTATTCTGAAGTATTCTAAATAATTTTAAACAGTTCTAAATGATTGTGAAATGTTGTAAATGGTATTGGGGCCTTCCAAATGGTTCTAAAACGGTCTTAATGGGTTTAAGCAGTTCTAAAGGATTCCTGAATATTGCAAATGATTCTTGAACATTCTAAAATAATTTAAAACGTTCTTAATGAGTTTAGACAGTTCTAAAGGATTCTGAAGTGTTCTAAATATTTTAAAAAGTTCTAACTAATTCTGAAATATTGTTAATGATTCTTGAGCATTCTAAATGAATTTACAACGTTCTAAATGGGTTTGGACAGTTCTAAAGTATTCTGAAGTGTTCTAAATAATTTAAACAGTTCTAAATGATTGTGAAATGTTGTAAACCATAAAAGCTAGCACGTTTCTGACGTTTCATTTGCTCTGTCAAAAGTAGCCAATCAAGAAATCTTTCACTTGAGCATGCGCATAAATAAGCTAGCACACCACAGTATAATGTTTGCTACGGGTTTTAGACCCGTAGAATGAAAAGTAGTGTTAGATATTTCTCCTTACAACTTCCTTATTTTGCAGGCTTAGCACTAAAAATAGGAAGTAATTGTCAACTATATACGGAAAATGAACCACCAGCAGCAATTATAGGACAATGTTTTGGATTTATTCTACTATTTTTGGCCTTTGATTGAAACCATTCTTCCTTCAATTGGAGTATTTTTGAGCACAAGAATAACGTATTTAAAACGTAAGTACTTACAAATAATATATTACTAAAGCAAAATATCATTCGTACACAATCAATTTCAACAAGAATTATAAAAATATATTGGCAAATAACTATTGATTTTTTGTTACCCGTAGAATCAAAGGTAGGTTTCCTTTACTTATAATTTCCTTTATTTTATAGAATTGACACCCGAAAATGGAGGCAACTTTTAGCTAAAAACGTGGAAGAAAGAACCAGAACAGAATTATATTTTGTTATTTATTCATCATCTATTCCTTTATTCAAACAACTCTTCTTCATTCGGGAAAATGTAAGTAATTACTAATATTTTTTAATAAAACAAAAGGTCATTTGATTATTTTTATTTGTATTATAAATCGTAAGTCTTTTAAGAATTAACAAGTAGCAAATGATTTTTGGTTACTAGTACAATATAAAGTTGGAATTTTGTTTTACATATTTTTTTTTTATTTTCTATTAATGGATGGGAAGATTGGAAGCAAATGATAGTATTTTTAAGTGTAATTAAATTAATATTAAATTAAAAGTAATTGAATATTTTGTCTATCACTTTATTATAACTAGAGATTGGTAAATACGCACTAAAAAATAGCAAAATATGCACTAGAAACCATCGAAATATGCAATTATACACTGTGCTTCATTTCAGATCACAACATAGGTTATACACTGTGTTATTTATAAGATGCGACATAGGGATTCATGTACAAATGTGTCAAAAGCAAGCTAACTTTTTTTACCAAATAACGTTCATAAAAAATAATAACAGATTTGAAAAGATCGTAAAAAAATAAGTCGAAATGGACATTAAATTTTCTTAAACTTGTTCTAGTTTATTAAAAAAATGTATAATTAAGTTGAAAAAGTCCTACGCCATAAATAATTCCTTTTTATAGCACTATCTAATTTGTTGTAAAAGGGGCTGAGCTAACAGAGATGGTTAACGCTCTGCAATTTGAAAAATTAAACTTGAAGTAATGTGGTTCAAACTGCGCTTGTGCCAAAGTTCTTTTTTGGTGTTTTTTAATGTTTTTGTCTAAAAAATGTTAAATAAATAAAAAAAAAACTTAATTAATAATTACTTTTGAAAATCATTTAGAACTATCTAAAACGATTTAGGACGATCTAGAATCATTTACAACGCTTTAGAACTGTCTAAAACCATTTAGAACGTTCTAGAATCATTTAGAATGCTCCAAAATCATTTACAACGCTTCTGAATAATTTAAAACTGTCTAGAATCATTTAAAACGTTTTAGAATCATTTAGAACTCTCTAGAATCATTTAGAACGTTCTAGAAACATTTAGACAATGCGTTAGCATTATTTAGAACTAATTACAACCGTTCAGAACGGATACATTTATACAGGTGTCCAAGTTAAAAAAAACCGCAAGGGCGTCGATCTTCTTGTACAGGAATCATTCTTAGCGAGCAAAAATCCTGCTATCCAGTTGTCTTGACTAAGTTGTAAAAAGCCGTAGAGATTTCAGAATTCCTAAAAAATAAAAGTCTTTAAAATAGGGTTCTCTCTTATGGATAATTAAAGGCTTGAAATAGCTTCATAATCCTGAAAAATAGATAAAAAATCATTAAAAATGAGTTCATTCTTAAAGAAAATTCAATTTTTACCTTTTCGAAAACGGAATACAACGGTCAAAATTCCAAAGAAACTTCAAATTGTCCAAATTAGCTATATGGATAATCTTTTCGCGTTCCAATAGTCTCTCGAAAGTCTTGAAACAGCTTCATAAACCTGAAAAATAGATAAAAAAATAATTAAAAAAAAGGTTCATTTTCATAGAAAATTTAATTCTTACCTTTTCAGTATTCATTTTTAAGGCAGAGTAGTCTTGAAAACAGAAGAAAACGGTCGAAATTCCAAAGAAACTCTTCAAATTGTCCAAATTAGCTATATGGATAATCTTTTCGCGTTCCAATAGTCTCTCGAAAGTCTTGAAACAGCTTCATAAACCTGAAAAATAGAACAAAAAATAATTAAAAAAAGATTCATTCTCATAGAAAATTTAATTCTTACCTTTTCAGTATTCATTTTGAAGGCAGAGTAGTCTTGAAAACAGAAGAAAACGGTCGAAATTCCAAAGAAACTCTTCAAATTGTTAAAATTAGCTATATGGATAATCTTTTCGCGTTCCAATAGTCTCTCGAAAGTCTTGAAACAGCTTCATAAACCTGAAAAATAGAACAAAAATAATTAAAAAAAGGTTCATTCTCATAGAAAATTTAATTCTTACCTTTTCAGTATTCATTTTAAAGGCAGAGTAGTCTTGAAAACAGAAGAAAACGGTCGAAATTCCAAAGAAACTCTTCAAATTGTCCAAATTAGCTATATGGATAATCTTTTCGCGTTCCAATAGTCTCTCGAAAGTCTTGAAACAGCTTCATAAACCTGAAAAATAGAACAAAAAATAATTAAAAAAAGGTTCATTCTCATAGAAAATTTAATTCTTACCTTTTCAGTATTCATTTTGAAGGCAGAGTAGTCTTGAAAACAGAAGAAAACGGTCGAAATTCCAAAGAAACTCTTCAAATTGTCCAAATTAGCTATATGGATAATCTTTTCGCGTTCCAATAGTCTCTCGAAAGTCTTGAAACAGCTTCATAAACCTGAAAAATAGAACAAAAAATAATTAAAAAAAGGTTCATTCTCATAGAAAATTTAATTCTTACCTTTTCAGTATTCATTTTGAAGGCAGAGTAGTCTTGAAAACAGAAGAAAACGGTCGAAATTCCAAAGAAACTCTTCAAATTGTCCAAATTAGCTATATGGATAATGTTTTCGCGTTCTAATAGTCTCTCGAAAGTCTTGAAACAGCTTCATAAACCTGAAAAATAGAACAAAAAATCATTAAAAATGGGTTCATTATTATAGAAAATTTAATTCTTACCTTTTCAGTATTCATTTTGAAGGCAGAGTAGTCTTGAAAACAGAAGAAAACGGTCGAAATTCTTAAGAAACTCTTCAAATTGTCCAAATTAGCTATATGGATAAACTTTTCGCGTTCTAATAGTCTCTCGAAAGTCTTGAAACAGCTTTATAAACCTGAAAAATAGAACAAAAAATAATTAAAAAAAGGTTCATTCTCATAGAAAATTTAATTCTTACCTTTTCATTATTCATTTTGAAGGCAGAGTAGTCTTGAAAACAAAAGAAAACGGTCGAAATTCCAAAGAAACTCTTCAAATTGTCCAAATTAGCTATATGGATAATCTTTTCGCGTTCCAATAGTCTCTCGAAAGTCTTGAAACAGCTTCATAAACCTGAAAAATAGAACAAAAAATAATTAAAAAAAGGTTCTTTTTCATAGAAAATTTAATTCTTACCTTTTCAGTATTCATTTTGAAGGCAGAGTAGTCTTGAAAACAAAAGAAAACGGTCGAAATTCCAAAGAAACTCTTCAAATTGTCCAAATTAGCTATATGGATAAACTTTTCGCGTTCTAATAGTCTCTCGAAAGTCTTGAAACAGCTTTATAAACCTGAAAAATAGAACAAAAAATAATTAAAAAAAGGTTCATTCTCATAGAAAATTTAATTCTTACCTTTTCATTATTCATTTTGAAGGCAGAGTAGTCTTGAAAACAAAAGAAAACGGTCGAAATTCCAAAGAAACTCTTCAAATTGTCCAAATTAGCTATATTGTAATGTAACCACCCTATCAATGTTCTATAAAATTACCTACCCTTGGCCAAAAGGAAGAAAACATGTGATCGTCTTAGTTGTAGTAACCCCTCGTTCTTTAATACATTGCTACGAAATTTCTGAAGTAGGGATAGGCTCGAAATGAAATACCGAATTATCCCATAATACCTTTTATTTGGGATACAATTACAAAATCTGGTTCGGGGCGCAACTTCTATGGGCGAGAGGAAGAAAGAACCAGTAAGAAAACTTCTCTCGTGCTATACCCAAAGAAAGAGACAAAAGAAAAACTAACCAACAAGCCAATAAATGAAGAAATAAACAAACAAACAAATAAAGCCAAATAAAGTAAAATAAACAAATAAAAATAAATAAATAAAAATCAATAAATAAAATCAATAAATAAAATCAATAATTAAAATCAATAAATAAAATCAATAAATAAAATCAATAAATAAAAATCAATAAATAAAATCAATAAATAAAATCAATAAATAAAATCGATAAATAAAAATCAATAAATAAAATCAATAAATAAAATCAATAAATAAAAATCAATAAATAAAATCAAGAAATAAAAATCAATAAATAAAATCAATAAATAAAATCAATAAATAAAAATCAATAAATAAAATCAATAAATAAAATCAATAAATAAAATCAATAAATAAAAATAAATAAATAAAAATCAATAAATAAAATAACCCGGTAATAAATACACAAAAATAAGTCAAGTTAGGAAACCGCTAAATGGCCCAGCGATTCGGCAATTCGTAGATCAGGTGTCCCGCTAGGTAGTACTGTGAATAAACAGATAAGTAAATGCGGAGATGCCTTTAATCACAACCATACCAAGAAGAAGAATTTGTTAAGAGCCAAGGAAACGAGCAAGTTTTACTACATCCCGCCTATCATAGTTGGCACATGGCTTGGTACCTCACCACAGAAGCGATCGCTTTACTGCAATGAGAACCGTCAGGGAAGAAATTGTTAATTATCTGCAACAAGGCCCATTCATAAACACTACCCCTTTCGTAACCGCTAACTTTACACACTGACCAAAGACACTCCAAAAATTGTAAATATATAAAAGCAATGATAAATAAATCGTGAATAAAGTAAACAAGATATCTGTAGGAAAATAAATGGTTCAAATATTGCAGTAAAAGTCAGAAAAATAAAATGTGTAAATTCGAGGGAAACAGGGAATATAAATAATCAAAATAGAGCTGGAATAAAAATTAAAATAAAATCATTGTTTCTGAAATTAAATCCATTGAAACTAGTAGTCCTGAAATTGAATACCTTAGTTGGACGAGGTAAACTTAATTTACGCAGCAACTTCATTTTATTCCAAAAACTCGAACAACAACACAATTTCACCTATCGCACCTTGCACCCACTCGTCACCACTGCTAGAACTCTTCTCCTCGACTCCTCGTTACGTACTCCCGATACCTATTTTTCAGAAACCCGCCCAGATGTTCGATTTTAAGATTCATCACAATATTTCCCATACGCAGTATCTTTATTTCAACCACTTATATCTCGCATTCCTAAACCCCTATCAATTGTCGCCTAGTTCTTCGGGTTATCTTTTCCACTGCGTCGTAGACTAAACAAAATTTTGGAAAGTGGACGGGACGGTGGTATTTTATTTAACAAACACAAAAAAAGAATTTTGGACCATAGGTGGGTTACTTCAGACGCCCCCCTGAAAACTATTCCGTGAAAGCTCTGAAACGGACTGGTTTTCACGTATCTAAAACTACTAGGTGGGAATATGATCGGGCCGTCGCAGAAAGAGATTTAGGCCCTGTAACGTCCCATTTAGGCCTTGTAACAACAGACAGAACAGCAGCCGCTCCGATAGGACAAACAAAAGCATTAATCAGGAGATGATGTCAGTACATGGTTCATCCGTTTCTTAGGTGCACGAAATACGGTGACGTCGGCTGATTGTTTCACCCAAAGGAAAAAAACTAAAGGAACCCACAAGGTGCAACCTGGGAACGACCACACGAGAATTTATCCGATGAGAGGATTGATCTTCCTGGGAGTGGAGGTATCAAGCGAAAGAAACCTGATTGAAGAAGCTAAAAATAAAAGTTAAATGTACAAAATATGCGTAAGATTTCTTTTGACATAAGTCTCAGAAACCAGAGCAGAAACATCAACAAATAAAAGAATAATGAGAACCACCGGAAGGACAATGCAACAGGTCTCGGAGGGACCATGTGGGCAATTCCAGATGGAAAATGGGCGGGTCAAGTCGCAAAAATCGAACTCAATCTCGCGAAGATCTGTAGGCGGACCACCCAAGAGATAGTACGAAATCTGGGGCTCAGCCTCACAGGAAAAGCTCCGAAGGAGGCTAAACGCAACGGATCAAACAGGGATGGCCTGAAGTTCGAAAGATGGACCTGATTTCATGATATCGCATGACAATTTTGATCGCTCACTCATACGGATTGGGCTCCGCAACGTTTGGATGGGGATCGCATCCAAGCCTTTGTCCTCACTCAACTCTACGCCCCCCAGTCGTCGAGGAGTTGGGATTTCTCAGTCGATGCTGCCAGCAACAGAGGAACTTCTGGGTTGAGACCTCCTGTCGAACCAAAGGGTCTACTAGGTAGGGAACTCCAATCGAAAGAACAGTAATTTCAAATTACACCTGGGCTTTTCCGGACTTCCAGAGAAATTGATCATATTTTCCCAGCAGAATGACCACACGCATACTTAAAGGTTGTCACTTTTCCCTAACAGAATCATCGCCACTCCTACTTGCCCTAGCCAGTCAACATCTAATCTGTCCTATTACTAACAAACATTGGGAATTTAGTACCAATAATTAGTGATGGACGCCCCAATTCGACCTGCGAATAGGCCAAACGGTCTCTCCGTGTACTGGCGCCCCCCAGTTTTGTACTAGACATCGGTACCGCCAGGAACATTGACCTCACTGTCCCCTTGACGCCCCCCCGTCGGGTACCGGCCACCTTCATTACCTAGACCATCGTTAGCACCAACGTCTTGGCGCCCCCCAATTGTGTGCACGCCCCGTCATCGGCTTCAACCGCGCCATTTGCCTATCAAACTAACACTCAACAGAACAACACAATGTAAACCTCCGAGTGGATTAGATTACCAGTAGACAATCCGGAACCTTATTATTCGTTTCGACCACCCACGAGTCCTACAAAAATTCCTCCTCTAATCCTCCCTAATCCTCCTCACCCCTTTATAAATCCTAGAAATTGTTGGTCCTACCTTGTTAACCTAAAGAATCCCGCGGTCGTCTAGGTGCCAATTCCAACGGTGCTATTTGTTCATGGCTGCAGAGCTCTACTGATACAAGGTTATCTTCTCCTAAGGGGTGACTTGTTTCCATTGACATTCAACCGCCAAGACTAAAACTCAGGAAACCTGACGAAACTACAACGATAAACCTGACAAACAAGACAACGAATCCACAGTGTCTAATTACACCGTACGGTTCGGGACTTTACGACAATCACCTGGGCCATCTGGAAAGGTGACACCTCACAGAAAAAAACGCTGATACCCTTACCTAATCATGTAGCCCTATACCAACCACACGAACCTACGCAAGCCTACCCCAAACTTCATTTCGTTTAGCAATGTATCCTGGTCACGGCACCAAATCTGTAATGTAACCACCCTATCAATGTTCTATAAAATTACCTACCCTTGGCCAAAAGGAAGAAAACATGTGATCGTCTTAGTTGTAGTAACCCCTCGTTCTTTAATACATTGCTACGAAATTTCTGAAGTAGGGATAGGCTCGAAATGAAATACCGAATTATCCCATAATACCTTTTATTTGGGATACAATTACAAAATCTGGTTCGGGGCGCAACTTCTATGGGCGAGAGGAAGAAAGAACCAGTAAGAAAACTTCTCTCGTGCTATACCCAAAGAAAGAGACAAAAGAAAAACTAACCAACAAGCCAATAAATGAAGAAATAAACAAACAAACAAATAAAGCCAAATAAAGTAAAATAAACAAATAAAAATAAATAAATAAAAATCAATAAATAAAATCAATAAATAAAATCAATAATTAAAATCAATAAATAAAATCAATAAATAAAATCAATAAATAAAAATCAATAAATAAAATCAATAAATAAAATCAATAAATAAAATCAATAAATAAAAATCAATAAATAAAATCAATAAATAAAATCAATAAATAAAAATCAATAAATAAAATCAATAAATAAAAATCAATAAATAAAATCAATAAATAAAATCAATAAATAAAAATCAATAAATAAAATCAATAAATAAAATCAATAAATAAAATCAATAAATAAAAATAAATAAATAAAAATCAATAAATAAAATAACCCGGTAATAAATACACAAAAATAAGTCAAGTTAGGAAACCGCTAAATGGCCCAGCGATTCGGCAATTCGTAGATCAGGTGTCCCGCTAGGTAGTACTGTGAATAAACAGATAAGTAAATGCGGAGATGCCTTTAATCACAACCATACCAAGAAGAAGAATTTGTTAAGAGCCAAGGAAACGAGCAAGTTTTACTACATC